TCAGGTTCGTGGAGAAATATTGCACAAAGACCTACCACTTGGACTTAAGGTTGCTTATGTGTATGTTCATCGTGAAGCAAATTGCAAGGAAGCTATGAAGATGGAGGGTCAAAGCTCAGAACTGGCTGCAATGGCAGCTAAGGCTCGCGATCCCTCCAACCGCACCGACCGAGGTGGGTTTGAGAATAAAAATGGGTAACCAAGAACCGGCCAACCCAGTCGTGATCTTCCTCAAGGCAAATGTCCCTATTGTGGTATAACGGGACATTCCAAAAATCAGTGCTTCAAGCTGATTGGGTATCCCGAGAATTGGGATAAGAAACATGACCCTCGCTTCAACAAACCTCGAGCTTCCATTGCAGAAACCAAGGATGATTCAGTGGATGTAGCAAGCAAAACATCAGCTCTGATTGCCGCAGTAGGTACTGATGGTAAGGCACTTAACGTCTCCACTTTTGTTATGAATACTACGTGGATAATTGATTATGGAGCTAATGAACATATGACTTGTGATTCTAGACATATTTCCTCACTAAAAAACTCTACCCACACTGAGGTTAATGTGGCTAATGGTGATGTCGCCCCAGTCTTTAGGGAAGGCACAGTTTCCCTTTCTGATACCATGAAACTTGATACTGTTTTTGTGATTCCCTCATTGAATTATAATTTATTATCGGTTGCCCAAATAAACCTTGCCTTACATTGTTTGGTGGTGTTTTGGCCTTATTTTTATGTATTTAAGGATATTTGGATGCGGAAGATGATTAGTTATGGTATTAGACAAAGGAAGCTATACTACCTTGAGTTGAATTCCAGTAGCTCGGGATTGCTCACTCAAGCACTGTCAGTGAATGGGACTCCAGCCGAGAATAATAAAGGGTTCGATTTGTGGATGCGGCACCGTCGTCTTGGCCACGCTTCGTTTGGTTATTTGCATAAGTTATTTCTTAGTTTGTTTGTGAAAAACGATGTTTCTTAGTTTAAGTGTGATGTGTGTGAAATGGCTAAGAGCCATCGAACTTCTTTTCCTCCAAGTTTAAATAAGAGTTCCGTTCCTTTTATGAATGTGCACTCGGATGTTTGGGGCCCTTCCAAAATTGCCTCTCTTGGTAGAGCTCATTGGGTTGTCACATTTATTAATGATTGTACGAGAATGACTTGGGTCACTTTGCTAAAATAAAAAAGTTATGTGAATATGGCATTTCAAAAATTTCACAAAATGGTTTCGATACAATACAATATGAAAATTCAGGTGGTTCGAAGTGATAATAGAGGCGAGTATGTTAATATTGAACTTCGCTCTTTCTTTGATACGCACGGTATTGTTCATCAGACCACATATCTGTATACTCCTCAGCAGAATGAGGTGGCTGAATGGAAGAATTGACACTTGTTAGAAATGGTTTGTGCTTTTCTTATTGAAACACGTATTCTCTTGTATTATTTTAGGGTGTGGCTTTCACGTCAGCTGCTTACCTTATTAATCACTTCCCTCTGGTACCCTAGAGTTTCAGATACCATTTTAGACTCTTATGTCTCTGCTCAGCTGCCCACCAGTCCCTAGCCTTTCCCCTCGAGTTCTTAGATGCATGGCTTTTGTCCACGTACATCATTCACAATGGCAAAACAAACTACAACCTCGAGCTCTTCGATGTGTGTTTATGGGGTATGCTACTACTTAGAAGGGTTATCGGTGCTATCACCGTCCCACTAAGAAAATGATTATCACTGCTGATGTCATTTTTCATGAAACAGAGATGTATTTTGGTTCCTTTGAGTCCTCACTTCAAGGGGAGTTTCATGGTGATGAAGTTCGTATGCTTGATTATGGAATTGAACAGCACATTATGGTGCAGCCACCCACCACCTAACGACAGACCATTCCACAATATCCTGCTGCCAAGCAGCAAGCTACGGTGCAGCAGTAGGCCGTCAAGCAGCAGGCCACTGTGCAACAGCCTACCACCGAACCCGTGTCGACTGCACAACAACCAAGTTTCGAGCAGGTTGCTGCTGTACATCAGCTTTCTATCGAGTTCGAGATAATAGGATACATGGCTCTATCGGCCCTCTTGCAGGTGGAGCCCGCGGTTGTAGAAGAAACAGTACATGCCAACTCGTCTCTTAATGATTCTTATAACCAATCATTTTCTACGCCAGATGGACCACCACTTCGTAGTCTCCTAGAAAGAATTAATCGAGGTATTCCTAAAGCCACTTATGCCCTAAGTGTAAAACTAAGCATTCAATGAGCAAACCAACCCATAACTCAAGAGTGAGGTACCCATTAAACAATTATGTGTCCACCTGTCACTTGTCTGAATCAAATAAGTCCTTTATGAATCAATTGTCTATTATATATATTCCTAACAGTGTGCAGGAAACCTTAGCCGATCATAGATGGAAAGAAGTAATGAATGAAAAACTAAGGTTGTTGAAGAAGAATGCTACCTGGGAACTATCGGACTTGCCAGCAAGCAAGAAACATGTGGGATGTAAATGGGTCTATATAGTGAAATACAAAGCAGATGGAACGATTGATCGGTTTAAAGCAAGACTAGTAGCAAATGGGTACACTCAGAAGTATGGCATAGATTACACGGACACATTTACGCTAGTAGCCAAGATCAATACTATCCGAGTTCTCTTGTCCATGGCAGCGAACCTAGATTGGCCATTTCAATAGTTCGATGTCAAAAATGCATTCCTACATGGAGATTTAACTGAAGAAATTTATATGGAGCTTCCACTAGGATGTACCAGAATAGACATGAATAAGGGTAAGGTATGTAAGCTAAAGAAGTCACTATATGGATTATACCAAAGGCATGGTTCGACAGGTTCACTAAATCAATGAAGGCATTCGGGTATAGCCAGAACAATTAGGATCACACCCTATTCTTGAAACGAAAGAATGAAAAGATTACAACACTCATTGTATATGTGGATAACATAGTGGTTACCAGGAATGACCCAATGGAACAATCGGTTCTAAAGAAGTATTTGTCTACGGAGTTCGAAATGAAAGATCTTGGACCTCTGAAGTACTTTCTTGGGATTGAGGTATCAAGAGGCAAGTCTAGGATATTCTTGTCCTAAAAAAAGTATATCATTGATTTGTTAAATGAGATCGGGATGTCAGCCTATAAACCTGTAGCAACTCTGTTAGCTGAAGGAACAAAGTTGAGCCTCGACAAGAATCAAGTAATAGTAGACAAATGGAAGATATCAAAGGTTAGTTGGGAGATTGATGTATTTGGCACATACAAGACCTGATTTTGCTTTTGCCTTGAGCGTAGTCAGTCAGTATATGCATGATTCGGGAGAACAACATATGAGTGTGGTGATGAGGATATTGTGTTACTTGAAGGGAAGTCTAGGTAAAGGAATTATGTTTAAGAAAAATGAGCATTTTAGAATCGAAGGGTATACCGTTGCGATTGGGCGAGTTCGGTAGATGATCGACGCTCAACATCAGGATATTTCACTTTTGTTGGTGTGCAGAAGCGGAATATAGAGGTATGGCTTTTGATATTTGTGAACTCTTGTGGTTTAAGTTTCTATTACGAGATTTGGGGGTCAACCATAGTTCGCCGATGAAGTTATTTTAGGACAACAAAGCTGCTAGGGATATCGCTCATAATCCGGTACAACATGATAGAACAAAGCATGTAGAGGTTGATAGGTTATTCATTAAAGAGAAATTGGAGGAAAAAATAATTGAATTGCCCCTGATTAGGATCGAGGATCAAGTGGCTAATATTCTCATAAAGGCTGGTTCGAGTGACAAGTTCTCAAGCTTCTTGGACAAGTTGGGCATGTGTGACATATATGCACCAACTTGAGGGGGAGTGTTGACTTGTATAATATTTCCCGTTAATTATGGGATTCCTATAATAGTGGGTTTCCTAGTTTAGGTTGTAAATTGATTGTAATTATTCATTCTTTATTGTAGTAGGATTGTACATGATTATATATACCTCAAAATGAGAAGAATACAATTAACACATTCAAAGCATTCTCTTCTCTGACCACCCACCATTCGAGTTTAAGTTATTTTGGAAAACAAACTAAAATTGAATAGGAAAATTAAGAAATTAAGAAATAAAGAACCCAAATCAATAATATCAGTATCCCTCACTTCCTCTTTTATATGCAATCCTTTTGTGTTAGAGCTACGAAGCAAAACAGTGTGATATTTCGTACCCGCTTCGTTCCTGTCCTTAGCAAAGGTTATCTCTCTAACTTTTGTCTATTTATAACACGTTATCAGCAAGGCTCTCTAACCCTAAACTGTTCACATCGGTGAAAAACATTTATTCCAAGGATTTTCCTGTTCTTCTTTCTCATCTGCCTTACCTGCTGGATGTACCCTCGTAAAGAACTGCTAACACCATGCCTGTTTCTAGTTCTCAATATGACAATTACTTATACCTTTGATTTTTTGTTTGGTGTAGTTCCTGATTACTAACCCAGTGTTTATCTTACTGCAATCGAAGAGGGTGAGGTATCATCGCCCATCTTGAACTGCAAATTTAATTTTACTGCAAATTTAGGTGATGCGGTATAATTGCCCACCCCGCTCTGCATATTTAAATTTTTCTGCTACTTAAGTGGTGCGGTACAATCACCCATCTTATGCTATATTGTTTCAATGAGAGTGGTGCGGTACAATCGCCCTCCTCATTAAAATCTCGAGCATGAAGTTTCAAGTGCTTATCATTTTGGCTTGAAGATCAAAATGAAAAATTTGTAAGAACCAGAAGTTATAACATTACATTCCTCCAGAATACATATTATTGCAAGTTCTTGCACATCTCATTTTTCTTTCAGAAAAGAAAATGGTGAACTTGACAAATCTTGATTTTGTTGCCCTGGATATTACTGGGAAGAATTACCTTACGTGGGTAGTGCATGCCAAGATCCATCTAGAGGCAGAGAATCTTGGAGAAACCATCAAGGAGGAAAACAATGCATCCTCTTAAGATCGGGCTAAGGCCATGATCTTTATTCGTCGCCACCTTGATAAAGGACTGAAGGGCGAGTACCTAACTGTTGAGGATCCATTAACCTTCTGGAAGGCACTGAGAAATAGATACAATCACCAGAAAACAATGATTCTTCCAATGGCTCGTTATGAGTGGACTTACCTAAGAATCCAGGATTTCATGACAATGGCTGAGCACAATTATGCAATGTTTATAATTAGCTCCCAAATGAAGCTTTGTGGGGAAACCATCATTGAGGAAGATATGCTGGAAAATACTTTCAGCACCTTTCATGCCCAAGGCTTTACTGAGTACAACCAGCAGATATATGTGCTCCTTGTGGCTGAACAGAACAATAAGCTCCTGATTAAGAATCATCAGTCCCAACCTACTAGATCGGTACCATTCCTAGAAGTGAATGTTGCTTCCCTTGAAGTAAATACCCCATCCTCTCGTGGTAATAATTACAAACGAGGATATGGCAACAAGCGAGGGCGGTGGAACGGGAAAGGCAAAAACTATGGTGTCCAGTTTCAAAACCAGGTTCTAAGGCATAATTCGGGCCCGAGCTTCAAAAATGCAAATCGCCAAAAAGGCAAAGCTCATATGAATAACACTCATAGAAATCCTGAAGGAGTTTACCATAGGTGTGGTGTCAATGGGCACTAGGTGCGTACCTGTTGTACCTCAAAACATCTGGTGGACTTGTATCAAGTCTCCCTCAAGGAGAAGGGTATCGAAACCAATTTTATCGACCAGGCTAAACCGATGAATATACCTGATCTAGTGTTCGATTTATCAGGGCAATTGAATACAACCTACCTGGATGTTGCAAACTTCATTGTGGAAAGAAGGAATGAAGTGTATCGGTTCGATTGAATCACTTATATTTGATGTACTCTTATTATCTAAATTTGTAGCTTAAAGCTCGTATTTTCAATTCAATAAAAATGACATTTCAGTTTCCTTTTATTATGAATAAACTGTTTTTTTAACCATGATTGCCTTACTTAGAGAGCATGGATAAAAATTATGGTTATTGTCAAAACAAGAGTAATGGCGGAGATATTTATCTTGCAGACAGCACAACCACGCATACAATACTTCGAGATCGAAAATATTTCTCAAGCTTGATGCTTACAAAAGTAAAGGTAACAAAAATATCAGGCTAATCAGATGTAATTGAAGGCTCAGGAAAAGCCCAGATCATGTTACCAAATGGAACAATATTGTCCTTACAAAATGTATTGTATGCTACTTGATCTACTCGAAATTTGTTGAGTTTTAAAAACATATGTTTAAATGGATACCACATTGAACCGAAAAGTGCATAAAATGTGGAATATCTATGCATTACCTCCAATGATACCTAGAAGCGTATATTGGAGAAGTTGCATGGTTTATCGAGTGGATTGTATTATACATACATAAAGACAATTGAAGCACATACTATCATGAACCAGAAGTTCATTGATTCAAAAGTTTACATGCTTTGGCATGACCGTCTGGGTCATCCAAGATCCACTATGATGCGTAGAATCATTACCAACTCTAATGGACATCCATTGTTGAGCAGACACATTGCTATCTCAAATGATAACCCTTGTAAGGTTTGTTTTCAAGGGAAGTTGTTAATTAGACTATCACAACTAAAGGTTGATGTTGAATCCCCATCATTTTTGCAAAAGATTCAAAGGGATATTTATGGGCCTATTCAACCACCTTCTGGACCATTTCGACATTTTATGGTTTTGGTTGATCTATCTACTCGATGGTTACATGTTTGCCTATTGTCTACTCGAAATGTAACTTTTGCGAGACTTCTTGCTCAGATAATTAAGTGGCGAGCATAGTTCCCAGATCATCCTATTAAGTCAGTCAGATTTAATAACGCTGGTGAATTTACGTCTTAAACCTTTGATGATTACTGCACGACACTGGGCATTGATGTTGAACACCCTGTTCCTCATATCCATAATCAAAATGGTTTAGCAGAAGCCTTTATCAAGCGGCTTTAATTAATAGCTTGCATTCTGCTCATGAAAACAAAATTACCAGTCTCTGCATGGGGACATGCCATCATACATGCTGCATCATTGGTTCAATTGAGACCCATAGCCAACCACCAATACTCATCAATATAACTCATGTTTGGGCATCAACCAAACATTTCATATTTACGAGTTTTTGGTTATGCTATTTATGTGCCTATTGCACTGCCACAACGCACTAAAATGGGACCTCATCGCAAACTGGGAATTTATGTGGGGTTTGATTCACCATCTATCATTACATATTTTGAACCCTTGACAAGTGATATGTTTACAGCTCGTTTTGCGGATTGTCACTTTGATGAGACAGTCTTCCCGTCATTAAGGGGAGAAAATACTGTTTCAGAAGAACGGCAAGAGCTGACATGGGTTGTACCTACCTTATCTCATTTTGATCCACAAAACACTCAATGTGAGAATGAAGCGAAAATAATATTTCATCTTTGAAGTATTGTTAATCAAATGCCAGATGCATTTAATGATGCTTCGAAAGTGACAAAATCTCATATACCAGCTACAAATGCACCTGCAAGAATTAATGTCACTGTTGGACAAAATAAAGTGGCAGCAAATGATTCATCCAGTGCACGTCTAAAGCATGGTAAACCCCATGTTCAAAAGATTCAGCCCCTCGAAAGAGAAAGATGAGGGCACAACTGAACCCAAATGAAATCATTCAGGAAAAGAAAATGAATGACAAATCCCCAATTCATGATTCTGAACTTTTAGAAAAGGAAAATTTCCTTGATGAGACACATGTCCCTGAAGAAACAGAAGTACATGAAAGCAAAGAAATCTCCATAAATTATTCATGTAATAACGAATTGTGGGATCGAAATGAAATAATCATCGACGACATGTTCGCATTCGCAGTAGCCGTTGAAATCATATTAAGCGATGATATTGAGCCCCACTTTGTTGATGAATGCAAACAGAGACAAGATTGGCCTAAGTGGAAATATGCAATCCAGGCAGAATTAAATTCCTTGGAAAGGCGAAGTGTTTTTGGACCGGTAGTCCAAACCCCGCCTGGTGTAAATCCTGTGGGTTACAAATGGGTATTCACAAGAAAATGCAATGAGAAAAACGAGATTGCAAGATATAAAGCACGACTTGTTGCACAAGGTTTTTCACAAAGATCTGGAATTGATTATAAGGAGACATACTCTTTTGTAATTGATGCAGCTATGTTCCGTTACTTAATAAGTTTGGTAGTTTCAGAAAAAATTAACATGCAATTTATGGATGTCATCACCTCGTATCTATATGGAGAATTAGATACTGATATATATACGAAAGTCTCAGAAGGACTTAAGTTGCCTAAAACGACTAACAAACCACGAGGTATGCTCTCAATCAAATTAAGGCGATCATTGTATGATCTGAAACAATCTGGATGAATATGCTATAATCGTCTTAGTGAATATTTGATCAAAGAAGGATATACTAAAAATGTCATTTGCCCTTGTGTGTTCATTAAGAAATCAAATTCTGGATTTGCTATAATGGCAGTATATGTCGATGATATGAACCTAGTTGGAACCCCTAAATAGCTTAATAAAACTGCTGAATATCTGAAAAGCGAATTTGAAATGAAAGACCTTGGAAAAAACAAAATATTATCTCGGCCCTGCAGATCGAGCATTGTGCTAATGGAATTTTGGTCCATTAATCAGCTTACGTTGAAAAAATCCTGAAGTGATTTGGCATGGACAAGGCTTATCCACTCAGCACGCCAATGGTCGTTCGTTCTTTGGACATTAAGAAAGATCCATTCCGTTCAAAAGAAGATGATGAAATGGTCCTTGGTCCAGAAGTACTATATTTGAGTGCAATAGGTGCTTTATTGTATTTAGCACAATGTACTATACTAGAAATAACTTTTTCAGTCAACTTGCTAGCAAGATATATCTTTGCTCTAATAATTCGTCATTGGAAGAGAGTTAAAGATGTATTGCGATATCTTCATGGGACAACAGACATAGGTCTCTTCTACTAAGACAAATCCATAAATGACCAGATCCTTGTTGGATATGCAAATGCTGGTTTTCTCTCTGATCCGCACAAAGCCCACTCACAAACTGGACATGTGTTCACTAATGGAGATACAACAATTCCATGGCACTTAACAAAGCAAACATTAGTTGCTACATCTTCCAACCACTTGGAAATACTTGCTTTACATGAAGCAAGTCGTGAATGTTTTTGGTTAAGATCAATGATCCATCATATTCGGAATTCATGTGGTCTACCTTCAAAGACAGACACTCCAACTGTCATTCATGAAGATAATGCAGCTTGTGTTGCCCAAATGAAGGAAAGATTCATCAAGGGCGATAAGACTAAACACATATCTTCAAAGTTTTTCAGTATACATGAGCTTTAGAAGGCTAAAGTTATTGAAGTCAAACAAATCTGTTCCAATGAAAATTTGGCAGACCTATTCACCAAATCTCTACCAAAGTGCACGTTTCAAAAGTTAGTGCAGGGTGTCAGATTATGTCGGCTTACCAATAAGCTAAATTTGAAGAATGCGGAATCAAGGGGAGATACATTTCAGGGGGAGTATCCATGATACATACCTGTTGTACTCTTTTTCCTTTGACTAAGATTTTTCCCACTGGGTTTTTCCTATCAAGGTTTTAACGAGGCAACATATGCATACTTAACAGTATATCAACAATCTGGGTAAAATTGTACTTTTTTTCCTTTGCTATGGTTTTTTTTTCCCACTGGGTTTTTCCAAGTAAGTTTTTAACGGGGCAACTGATGTTGATTTGTGGGAATCCAAGGGGGAGTGTTGTAAACAGTGGGAATGTATGCCCACATGCCAACAGTAATTTTCTCACATGCCTAATAATGTTGTTTTTGTTTGTTGTATAACAATCATCCACTTTCTGTAAACTAGTCACGGATGTTGTTGGATTAGTCACAGGTGTAATTTTCCTTCATTGTAAACCTACGGATGTAGCTCTATAAATAGAGCACTTCGCAGGTGATCAAGGTACAACAATTGAAAGAGAAAATTACTAAAAGCAATAATATCATTATTCATCCCTTCCTCTTTTATCCGCAATCTTTTGTGTTAGAGCTATGAAACAAAACAGTGTGATATTTCATACCTACTTCATTCATGTCCTTAACAAAGGTTATCTCTGTAACTTTTGTCTATTTATAACAATATATGCATTAAAATAATAAAATTTTAGAGTTTGTTAATTATCCTACTTCTTAGTCCGATACTCTACCAAACACTTCACTAAATCAATCCAGCTTAGTCTAGTCTAAGTCAGTCCAGCTTAGTCCTTAAAGTTAGTCTAGTCCAAAATAGTCCAATGCAACAAACACATCCTAGTGGGAAAGTCCGGCCCATATACGCTAAGCCCAGTTACCAAATTGGCTGTTTATACGCAACGCTAGCTGTCGGCGGAGGATTTGAAAGAAGGAAGACCCGGTTGAGCTGAGTTATCCACACACACAACACGAATACATAGGAGCAGAGCAGTGCAGTATGACGATGGCCTCACAGTCACAGTCACTCCAATTCTTTCACAGCCACATAATCATAAGAAGAAGCACTCTTCCTCCTCCTTCCCTTCCTTTTCATTTCCAGGTCCCCAAATCCCTATTTCTTAATTATTTTGTACTTTTTTACTCTTTCTTCTTCTTTCAATTTAATTAGGGCTTATCCATACTTGCAGTTGCAGTTGCAGGGTGGTTATACTTATACGCCATATGCTACAGTTGGCGTTGTACGCAGGAGGCCTCCCTCCAGGTTCTCTCTCAAGTATCAAACAATGGCTATGGCTATGGCCAATGCCAATGTGAGTGCTTCGCCTTCGCCCACTCCCACTCCGGAGGCACCACTTTCATTTCATTTCATTACACTTAGAGCTCTGCACAATCACTCACTCAATCAATAGAATGAATAGGTTTCACAACATTTGGTATGGTAGGTAATTTGGTTGTGTGATTTTAGGATGTAGAGCAGCCGCAGCTGCAAGCCACAGTCACAACCAAGTGCTTCTTTGACATAGATATTGGCGGCGAAGCTGTTGGTCGCCTTGTATTGGGCCTCTTCGGTCAAGTTGTTCCCAAAACCGTTGAAAACTTTCGCGCCTTGTGCACAGGCAAACCCCCCAAACAACCTTTCCTTATTTTTCCCTTTCCTTTCTAATTTCTTCTACTACTTCTTTTGCTTTATAGTTTATACTAATATTGATTTATTGTTCTTGTAGGAGAGAAAGGATATGGTTATAAAGGATGCTCTTTCCACCGCATCATCAAAGATTTTATGATCCAAGGAGGGGACTTCACTCAAGGAGATGTGATCCCTCTCTATCTCCCCCGTTCTCCCTCTCTAATAAATGCAGTAGGATCGGATCTCATTGGTTTCTAAACTAATCCAAATTTAAATGTTTTTACTTGCCGCAGGGAACTGGGGGAGTTAGTATCTATGGTTCCAAATTTGCAGATGAGAGTTTTGCATGTATGTTCTTGTCACATTTATTTCTAAATTGTTATTATTTCAATTTGTATGGGAACAAGAATTGTTAACTGAGTTGAGAATTGAGATCCTATCATTTGAGAGGCATTTGATTGTGAGCTGAAAGCGCTTACCATAATGACTTGAATAAACACTTGCAGTGAAGCATGTTGGTCCTGGTGTGCTGAGCATGGCTAATGCAGGCCCTGGTACTAATGGGAGCCAGTTTTTCATTTGCACGGTGAAGGTGAGATGGCTGCTGCAACTATGCAATCCTCTCTCTCTGTATCACACATTTAACTAAATACTTTTCTCTTACTTGGGTTTGAATTCTCGCCATGCTTTCCTTCAAATTCCAAGTCTATTCTTTATTTCCATCCGTTATGGTCAGCAGTGATTTTTTTGCAACTTGATAGCTGAGTAGGTGCAACTGCTTTGTTCGGTTACAGTCTGGTGGACAAGATTTTATTATATTATCTTCGAAACAACCATACAAAACTTTGAGATAAAATCTTTAAACAAGCCAATACAGCATATATGAGATTCATCAGCAGTTGAAAGAAGCACTGAGATGCTTATATATGCATGCACAAATGATTTTTTAAGGTTTTACTTCTATCTATGGATCAATTTGTGCTTTTTGCATCATCACATATCCAGTCAAAGTGGTAGACATTGGGATGATTGGAAAACACTCATTAGTTCGTAGTTAGTATTTTTATCACTGTTAATTTCAGCTAAAGCAAATAAGTGTCAGAAATGAAACCCTGTCCTTCTTGTCTGTAATTATTTAAAAACAAAAAAGAAAGAGAAGATCTACATGCGGTATTCTGTTCAGCCAATTTAGCTCTTTGTCGATTAATGGTTTTGGTATGCCTCATGTAGACTCCATGGTTGGACAACCGCCATGTGGTTTTCGGACACGTGATTGAGGGAATGGATGTTCTGAGGAAACTCGAGTCCCAAGAGACAAGCAGGCTAGATGTCCCTCGTTTGCCATGCAGAATAGTTAACTGTGGAGAGTTGCTGTTGGATGACTGATCTGTTTGCCTTACTCGGCATAAAGTACAACTGTGGGATGAAGTTTTCTGGTTTGTCAATTCCAGAGTTGTTCTTAACTATGATTATTATTCTTGCGATGTTTTTGGCTGTGAAATGAAATATACCAGACATCAACATTGTTCATTTCCGCCAAGTTCAAATGCGATTTATATATATAAACACCAGAGATGAAGGTACATGTATTCTGTTGGACTGAATACAGGGACACACTTATCCCTTTGTTTTTAGAACAGAAACTCACGGAGTCAATTACGTGAATTAATGCGGCATCCATTAACTGTATTGTTTTACAAGTGTATAACAACTTGGCCATAATTCGTAGGGATCCTTAACTCACTTTAATATGCCAAATTACCGCCAGCCCTTGTTAACTGAAATTTGGATTACAAGGTGACTGAAATCGTGACACAGTAGAAGACAAATATGCAACGCAATGGCAACTGTTTCAAGACGAGCTTTTGCCTCTCTCTTGTTACATCGACTCAATCTTCCAAGAATTATAAATACAAACCAAAAGGGATTTCTAAATCATAGAATCGATCTTGTACTGCATTTTCAAGTTTCAAAACCAAAGAGATTAGCACCACAAGGCACAAACTTGTTTGGGAGCAACTGACTTTCAGTTCCGCATTCATTTGCCAAACCTCCCCACATCATATTACATAAAGAAAAAAACTATGATTTTGCAGCTGGTGCCCGTATTCGGATAAAGAAAACTAGCAAGGAGGGGCTTTTGCAGAAGATATATGTATAACAATGTCGATGAGGGCATTAGGTTTCAATGGAAGAGAAGCATAAAGCAAAGATTAACAATACAAACTGCAAAAGTACTGTTTCAAAGTCAAAACTTAAGTCAAAGACAGATTGAAACAATTTATTAGCCTTAATCTGCCTTTTCTAATTTATTAACTGTGAATCTGGCTGCATACCTCACATGTAATAATAAATTCCATGTCCTTTCCAAAGCAACTATTCTACTGGAGGAGTTTGGCTCATTTCACTAAATACTCAACTGGGGATCCATCCGAGATGTGGTCTTCTAATTCATCAACAAGGGCATCATAACATAAACGATATTGCTCTGGTTTCTGAACCATTCCATCTCGCTGAAATCTGAATGTGGTTATTGTTTTTACTAAATCTAAACCAGGCATGTTCCCAGAAAGAATTCTCTGCAATGTATCATGAATGGTGCAGTACGTTCCAGTTCTCCCAACACCTATATTGCAGTGCACCACAATTGGGCTGCAGTCGGGTATGGCGGGTGCCACCTGATACATTACTCTTTTCTCAATTTCACGAACAGAAAATGTATCTTCGGGAACTCCTTGGTTAGGCCATTGAGAATACTGAATATGCAAAACAGACATTAGTGGTGAAGGTTCCTCTGAGCGAAGAAGAATGAGCAGTTAGCGCCATTTGCGGTATACAGCAGGAATACCCAAGGTGACGTGAATCTTCTTCATATCAAGCAAGGTCTTTGAAGTAGAGCCCAACCTCTAATCTGCACAAAGAAAGATGGACGTTCAACTACTTAAAGTCAAGAGCAGCTCAGCAAAAATTCCAAACAGACCAAGAATGAAGCAGTTCACTTACCATCAATAAACTCAGTCGAGATACGCAGCCCAGGCGAGAAGTTGGATTCCCACTCTCAGCTGATCCCCAGAGTGTCCCTGGACCACTCATGGCCACATTTGCTTGACAAATCAAAAAGCCTATGGCAAGACCTCAATTGCCCTACTTCTTCCTTGTGGCCGATCTCAAAGAAATACTAGAACTCGTTGACAGTTAGGCTCAAATCGAAGAACTTGCTCAGGTTTGAGAACCATACTATCATTCAAACTGTATTCAGGGAACACTGAGTATGAACGCATTTCATGATGCAGATCACCTCTGGAAAATGCGCGGGATGAGAAAGGTGAATCCCAACATATAGTAGTATGAATGGGACTTGATGGCTCTCTTCCCAGCTTTGGCAGCCTCACTGCATGATTCATGGCTACTTCCTTCTTCACTTGTTTCATGCAAACTCTGGGCGGGATTGTGTGCTTATACGTCTCAAGGAAATCCCGAAATAGCTCATCTTACAGGAAGACCTGCCTTGCGGCAAGTAAAGAAGAAAACTAGGGGATATGGTACAATTTCCTCTAGCATTTTCTCTTTTTATTGTTGGGATAAAAATTTGCTCTCTAAATTTATTTACCTCCTACTTAAGATAGGTTTAAATAAGCTCCAGAGGTAATTGGTTTCTTTTTCCTCGAATACTTAAACTCCAAGTCAATGTGGAGAATCTACATCAAATCAGGAAACAACTATTTGCTCGCCTACTCAGCTTGAGATTTTCTACATATTGCCATTTCTGCATATAACCCAACAGGTGTAGGAGTATTTGTAAAGCCAAAAAATAATTCCAAAATCCAGAAGACGACATGTGGATTTTTTTTTCCCAAGAATAGAAGATTGCCCTTATTAAATGGGTGGGGCCCGTAAATATTCTCAAGTGCACTTCAACATCCCCGGAGGTTTGAGCAGTTGGCTACGCCATCTCCAAGCTCTCATGCTCATGGCCAAAGACATAAAGGATACGATTAATCACCAAATATTATCTTTAATACATTCCTGATTGAAGATCAACTCAATCAATTAAGAAATCCTCATCACAATCAATCAATGATACTTTAACTGATAATCCCAAGATATCATCTTATAATTAATATCTTCAAAATAATTTTTTCCTCATCCATTTTACAGATGACTCACCTTGGCCAATTGGAAGCCTTCACTTGTAGGTTAGAACCTTACCATGGCCGGCCACCTCTTTATAAATACTCCATCTACACCATTTTTTGGTAAGCTTTTGTTACTCACTTAAGCCCTAAACCCTCTCTTGTTAGGGAAACCGACTTAAGCATTAGAGATCTATTGGTCAGACCCCCCCCCCCCACCTTGTGGGCACGAGTGATCAAATGTGTTTATTGTTTTGTTGGTACAAATTTGTCAAGCTGAAGACGACGATTTTTTGTCACCATAAACAGTGAATGGCTGGTGGGGTGGGGCTGGTGTTAATTTGGACGGGAAAAAGGTTTAGTGAGTTTTTGTAGTAGTTGGATTCCGGCTACAAATCTGAATTTGGGGTTGATTAGTGGTTAGATCGAGAGAAATTTGGCCGAGTCTTGGATGAGTTAGGGTGGTCGAGCTACATGTGGGGAGGTGAGGGATAGCGTGACTGTGGGCAAGGGTGGATGGTGGGGGAATGGGTGGTGCAAAGGTTAGGAGTGGTTGTTATTAATTTGTTTTCTTTTATTATTATAATATTTATAATTTTATTAATTTTTAAATTAGATTTAAGAAACGTGGGAAGCACAAGGCCGAATTCATGGGGTCCACGTTTGTAATGGAGCCCCAAGCGTTCATCATCTTTTTGTCGACGATAGTTTTATATTTGCTAGAAGTTCTCTCCAGGAGTGTATGCAATTGAAGGAGTTGCTAAGAGCTTACGAACGGGTGTCTGGGCAAGCTGTTAATCTTTCAAAAAGTAGTGTGGCTTTTAGTAGAAATTTAACGGATATGGATGCACAGCTTCTGGTTGATTGTCTTGGGATGGAACGAGTGGAGTATCATGACCAGTATCTCAGTTTATGTCACGCTCCGACCTGCGAATAAAGACTATTCACGAGTTAGGGTGTGAGCCATATCTTAGCTATATAAATAAATTCTACAAATAAGATATGGTGGAAAAATTAAAATTAAATTATTAAAATTGATTGAATACGTAGCGGAATAACTATAGTGCACAAAATAATTCACAACAAAAAGTACCAACAAAATAATAATTAAATTGTAACAATTCTTTCGAATGCATGAAATATATGCAAATGAGATGGATGAATGTACTCACTCCCTTCTAATCCCGTCAACACATACCTAAGGCACCCAAGCCTGCATGTCCCATACCATGCTTATACCACTTGGCTTCGAATACCTTAGAATATGAGTTAACGCTCGTTCATCCCTTAACCCAATTTTTGTAATTAAACTCCCAGTTTCCACTTTATTAAACATGCACTTCCCCTGATGCCTAATTGTATATTCAAGCCCTTCTCTCGAAGCCTAACATATACATGATTTCATTATTTTATAATCAACCAATTTGTATACTCAAACCTTGCACACCACACCTGACATATATAAGGTTCATTATTTTATATTTAAGGAAAACTTCAGCCCTTGAATATTCTCACAACTTAACTGTTTACAAACTCAACACAACTCTTTTTCTTGCTTTGCAATACATATGTATATGTCATGTTCACATAGATATCACTACTCACATTTTATCTAACAAGCCTGCAAGCTTCAACATAAATTAAATTGATTAGTGACAAGCGTAGTATAATCATAATATTAATAAAATAATAACCTTAATATAAATGATAAGCAATATGTTACCATTTCCTCATTTTTTTATTGTTTCAATTTCATTTCCTCCCTCTTGTTCTCTTTCTTCATTCGCTACTTCCCCTTCCTCTTCTTTAATATAGCTGAAACTCTACATATGTAATAGGAGTTGGATTACTGAAAAACTTCCATGAAAGTGAGCGAAAGGAACTAGAGATGTTAGCCATGCAGAGAGGTTGGCAGAGAAGGCTAGCTCAACCGAACATCAGCCGTTCGAATTGGGGTACAAGTCAGCACATAGATTGGATTGTCGTGGATTTTGGATATATTATAGATGAGATGATAAGAAACAACTTTTGTTAAGGAAGTGTTTTGATTGGAGCTCTAAAAAATGGGGTTTTGGTACTCATAACATGGCTGTCCACTTTTCTGCAGGAATAGAGACTGAGTTGGTATTTTAAACATATTGAACGATCGCACTGTTGGATATTCCTAAAATTTGGATATATCATGGTAGAGAGACAGAAAAACAACTCTCCTGAAGAAAGTAATATGATATAATCTATGGGTGATGGTGTTTTGATCTGTTAAATACGCTAGATGAATTTCTATTTTTTGGATATCTTTCTTTTGATAGATGAAAATGATGGTGGTTTGATGGAGAGATCTGTTGGGTAAGGTCTCACATATTTTTCAGGAATTTGTCTCAGACTTTTTGTACATCATTCTCAAGAGAAATAAATGGAGATTTTTGATAGTTTGGTGGAACTGCTTCTCATGGCAATGATCTCCAAATGTAAATGCATAAACAACATAAGATTTAAGTGGTTTGCCAAATTGACTACATCCATTGGGTTTGCTTTCATTGTATTTCACTATATATGGGAAACTTACAAATATAATGAAAGATGGCTTAGAGCCTTCAAGAAAGATAAAGAGATAATATGAAAAGGAGGATGGCTTTTTGTTGGAGTTGTTCTCTTCCTTTTTTCTTCTTCTTTCTTCTTCTTCTTTCTTCTCTCTTCTCTCCATGTCTTCCGTTTGGTGAGTGCTCCTTCCTTAATAGAGATTGCATGACATCTTCATCTCCAAAGAGTCTCCACAAATGTGCCAATAGAAAGAAAGCAAGTGTTGTGCCAATCATTAGACATAAAATGTGTTCCAATAGAAACACACTAATTGTTAACCTAATCATCACCATGAAATGTGTTCCAATAACAAGGCAACAAATGTTGTCCTAATCCTTAGCAATGAAATGTTGTCCAATGGAAAAACAACAAATGTGAAGCTAATTATGAACTAATGAATAATATGCAAGATGTTCCTTGCATCAAAGGCCACGTGAAATGTTCTAACCACAATAAGTTGTCATCTTCCTTCATTTAGAGTGGTGAATATCATGCAAAGTGGACAAAAGCTCAAAAGCCACATTCAAAGTCTAAGGGATATGAATCCTACCTCTTCAAATTTTGGAGGGATGAATCATCACCAAACATTTAACTCCTAGATTCCTAATGAATACAAACTTGCCAACTCATCCTTAAGTAGACTTCCACCTTCACATTTAGAGTGGTGAGTAATCACCAAATCATTAACTCCTAATGTTACAAACTCTCCACCTCATCTTTGAGAGAAAATATCAAGACAAAATTACTCATTTAGTCCAACCTCAAACTCTCGGCCCTTTGTGAGGAAAATCAAACCAAACTCATTTAATCTCCCTTCTCCAATTCAAACTAAAAATATCTCTAATTACATATGAACATGAAATAGCTAGTTTTTGAAATAATTTGTAGCAAAAAAGATTTTGCATTTAAACTATTTTACATATCGAAAATAGGTTCTTGGACTTAAATTTAATTACCCACATACATACATATATACATATAACCATTTTTTTAATACGGGGTATTACAATTTACCAGTGTTTGTTGGTCGATCCAAGAAAGATACATTTGCATTTATTAAAGACCGTCTGTGGAAGAAGTTGAATGGATGGCATGGTTCCTTTTTGAGTAGTGTAGGGAAAGAAATTTTGATAAAAATGATGGCTCAAGCAGTTCCGTTATATACGATGCAGATGTTCTTGTTGCTGATAGGAGCATATTTATGCGACTGAGTTAGCTTGTTCTCATGCATTTATGTTGTTATTTCTTAATTAATTATGTATTTTAAGCTATTTTCGTGTGTTTGTAGGTCCATAGGCCTTATAAAGCAATAAGGCGCATTTTGGTGCATTTTGGGCTTGGAATGGATAGCACATGCATGGAGCAAGGTGGATGGACAAA